AGGACATGCTTGATACCCCTGAGCTATCAATATTGGATGAATAAAGGAGTGATTCGCCCCTTGGGTTCTCTCAGCAATTCTATGAGATGAGGATTTTTAGTCCCTGTTGGGCAGAGTAGAAACCCAAGGCTTAAATCACCCTCCACGACTCTCACCCAGGCGTCCCAAGAAAATGCCAGATCTTCTCAGTGGGCCGTGCAAGGAAACTACGGGGTCTCCAAACCCACCTTCACCACCCTGCCTGGCTTTCCCACGCAAAGACCGGGGTCTCCTCCGGAGAATCCTGCAACTGATTAAAACCACAGAGCCTCGCGGTAAGAAAGCTTAACCACATTCATTAGAAAATCAATGCAAATTAAAAACCACCCCGGGATCCCACTTTTCTCCTCTGAGAAGGCAAAGATCAAAAAGGTTGCCTTTGCGGTTGCGTTGGCGGAAGGCGTGGGAAACAGCCTGTGTGGTGGTGTCTGGCAAAGTCGAACACGCCCTCTGACCCAGCAATTCCTCTAGGAGGAATTTATTCTAACAGCCGGTTATATTGATCTGAGCAAACGCGTAGCTCTTTCTCAGCGCCACTCACCGAACCAAGCGCGGTATCCACATTGTCAAATGTGACTTGTCTCAGCCATGCTTTGAGGGAGGGACTATTATTCCACCTATTTTACACTGGTGGAAACTGAGGCATGGGAAGTGGAAGCAACTGTGTCCCTTAGCTAAGCAGCGGGTGCCATTCTGACTTTTTAAGAGTATTTACAAAAGTACGCAAACACAAATGCAAAGGAATATTAGTGTTGGGCATGTGTGTTCGCCCTTGTGTGTGTTGAGAGGCACACAAAACAGTAATTATCCCCACCCCACCCCCAAGAACCAGCTTCCTATTGTCCACAATTTCTTCTTTTAAATTAACTTCCTGCACTCCAGCCTGGGTGACAGAGGAAGAACTATGTCTAAAAATTTTTTAAACAAACAAACAAATAAATACATTTCCTCATTATTCTTTTTTAAAACTTCCCTCGCTAATCTCTGTCAATGCTTCTTTCAGCTTTTAGTGCACTTATTCGTCTTCTAGCTTCTTGAATTGTTTGCTTTGCTAATTTCCTTTTGATGTGTACGTGCTTCTCAAAATTATAGAACTTCAGCTCCGCGCCTGTGGCTCAGTCGGCTAAGGCACCAGCCACATACACCTAAGGTGGTGGGTTTGAATCCCCATCCCGGGCCCGCCAAACAACAATGATGGCTGCAACCAAAAAATGGCCGTGCTGTGGCGGGCGCCTGTGGTCCCAGCTACTTGGGAGGCTGAGGCAGGAGACTCGCTGGAGCCCAGGAGTTGGAGGTTGCTGTGAGCTGTGAGGCCATGGAACTCCCCCCAGGGGGATAGCTTGAGGCTCCGTCTCAAAAAAAAAAAAATTATAGAATTTCAGCTGTAATTACTTGTTGAGCCCAGGTGTTTCTTAGATGAGTGTTTTGTAATGTTCAAGGCAACTGGAGTTTTGCTTTGTTTTTTATCCTTTGTTAGTAACTTCTCCTTTTGAACGTGGCCTGTATTACTTCTGTTTTTGAGAATCAACCTATGATTTATCTGTGACGGCATAGTCAGATTTTTGTGGGGGGTTGGGTGGGAGGGTAAGACAAGATCCTGAATTTTTGAAATGCTCCAAAGTACATTGCTGGGACAGTTGAGAAATTTCAATATTGACTATTAGATAATATCACTGGTAAAGGTCTTAAAGGGGATAATGATATGACATTATGGTTGTCCAGGGAACATGCCCTTGTTATTAGGTGATACAAGATAGAGAATTTATAGATGAAATGTCACGATGTCCTCCTTGCACCTACTTTCAGAAGGTTCAAAATTTTTTGGAGGTTCCTCTGAGCACTGTGACCCTCAAGGGACAATGGCTATGCCAGGTATGCCAGAGAACCCTCCCTGAGTCTCCCAGACCTTGGGTCTCCCTACTGGTTTGTTCCTCATGACAGATGTACCATGGTATAGATATATGTGGGGAGAGAGAAAGAGAGAAACTGACAGAGACAGCAAGAGAACCCAGGCAATAAAGAGATACTCAGATAAGGGGGAGGGAAGGGAAGGAGAGAGAGAAAGACCAAATGTAGGATGGGGATGGGCAAATATTAACATTTGCTAAATTTAGTTGAAAGGTATATTATTCTTTTAATAGCTTTGAAGTGTTTCAAATTAAACATTTGAAATGAAAAAAGCCAAAATATGTTTACAATAAAGTTTTGGATAGAGGTTTCTCTTGGATGAAGGAGATGGAGGAATGATGAGGGGGCAGGGAGAGAGGGGAGCCCCAGGATGGCCACATGGTTTTTTCCCATGACCTGGCTGAGTCGCAAGGTTATTCACCTGGTGATAATCAATGAATTCCCCTACTTATACTTTTTTTTATATATATTGTTCAAAATGTCTGTGTCATATTGAATCATTTTCAAGGGTTAAAAAATATCATCACAGCAAATTCATAGGAACCTAAATGCCCATCAGAAAGGGACTGAGGGAATATCTTTGTGCACAGCATATCCATATAAGAGAATCTTTGGCAGATCCTCCTGCTTCAGCCTCTGAGTAGCTGGGATTACACTGAACACAACACCAGGCTACTGGGAAACCTGGTTCAGATTAGCATTAACCAATGGGATATAACACAAACCACATGTCCTAAATGTTCTTAAGTATCCTAGTGGCCACATCAACAGAGGAAAAAAAAGAATCAGGGGACATTCTGCATAATCACCCCCAGGTATACCCTTGGTAAAATGCACACGTGTAAGATAACGCATGTGGCATGTTCTATTTATGTTAAGAATCCCTGTGTATTGAGGCTGGGTGTGGTGGCTCACACCTGTAATCCTGGCACTCTGGGAGGCCGAGGCCAGTGGATTGCCTGAGCTCACAGGTTCGCGACAAGCCTGAGCAAGAGCAAGACCCTGTCTCTAAAAAATAGCCAAGCCTTGTGGTAGGCACATGCAGTCTCAGCTACTTGGGAGTCTGAGGCAAGCAGATCACTGAAGCCCAAGAATTTGATGCAGCTGTGAGGTGTGAAGCCATGGCACTCTACCGAGGGCACCAAGTGAGACTCTGTCTGAAAAAATAAGTAGGTAAATAAACAAATAAATAAATAAATTTGTGTTTTGTTTTTTAATAATCTCCTTTTACCCAGTTTATTTTTTTGAGGTGTGTCCATCCTACCTGAAACCCAGCCACTGTCTCATTTCATCCTCTCTCAGCCCTGCATATGGAAGCATTTGGTTCTCTTTTACAATGTTGGGGAAAATGGGTCTCCGAGGGGTGGTGTTCTCAGGGAAGTCAAGACTGGGCCAAACTTTTAATTTGGAGAAAGTAGTGTGATAATTTCTGGTTTGGATAATAGATTTCTTTTTGTCTCTACCTAGAACCAGGGACCAGGGACAAGTAGAATTTCTATCCCCCAAAAGGAGTATTTATTGTGTGCTTTGGGTTTCAAGCAATAGGACACTTGACTCCACCTGGCTTCAACAATAATAAGGATGTTTATTAAATCACTTTGCAAAAATTCCAGAGGTTGGTAGCATAATAGTTAAGGTATAGATTCAACTGTTGCAGCAGACATAAAATAACATGGCTTCAATGAGCTAGAATTTGAAATCAGTCTTTTCACAGCATAGTTATCATCATCCCAGGGCTGGTGGAGGGACACTGTGGGGACACAGTAGCTTTCTATCCCACCATGGCAGCCATGGCAGATCGCCAATAATGGCATCAGTTCTGCACACCTTCCTGGGCGCATACTCCTTTACAATGTCACTATACACATTTCCCCATCTTGACCATGTGAAAAGGCCAGCTCACTGGGTGAGGGCCACGTGGCTTCACCAATCCCACCATCCCAGACAGAAGCCGGCCGCTCCTCCCAGAAGCAGAGCCACTGAGCCGACTATGCACAGATGCATGAGGGAACCTAGCCCAGACAAGGGAACTGAACTGTTCAGTTGAACTTAGACCAAATTGCTGACACACAGAAATCATAAAAGGTTATGGTTTTAAGCCCCTAAATTTTGGGAGTGTTTGTTACACAGCAAAAGTGAACAGAGACATCCACATTCTAGACAACAGAAATGGGAAGTGGACACGGTGGCTCACGCCTATAACCCTAGCACTCTGGGAGGCTGAGGTGGGCAGACTGCTTGAGCTCAGGAGTTCCAGACCAGCCTGAGCAAGACCAAGACCCCATCTCTTAAAAATAGCCAGGCATTGTGGTGAGCGCCTGTAGTCTCAGCTATTCTGGAGGCTGAGGCAAGATAATCCCTTGTGCCCAAGAGTTTGAGGTTGCTGTGAGCTATAACACCATGGCACTCAACCTCAGGGTGACTGAGTGAGACTCTGTCTCAAATTAAAAAAAAAAAAAAGAGGGTTGCACCCATAGCTCAGTGGGTAGGGTAGGTAGGGCACCCAGGCTAGCCGGTTTGAACCTGGCCCAGGCCTGCTAAACAACAATGACAACTACAACAAAAAGATAGCCAGTGATGTGGCAGGCACCTTAGTCCCAGCAATTTGGGAAGCTGAGGCAAGAGAATCGCTTAAGCTCAAGAGTTTGAGGTTGCTGTGAGCTGTGACGCCACGGCACTCTACCAAGGGCGACATAGTGAGACTCTGTCTCAAAAATAAATAAATAAAATAAAAAATAAAATAAAGGCATTTTAAGGAAGTTGCAGTGATTATTTCCAAAAAGCAGTCATAAGGCGATACCTACTTGTACACAAAGGATACTGGGAAATGTAGACTTTTCTGTTTTTCTGGTTAACCATGTGCCCAGTTTCAAACAAATAGGAGTCTTACTATAAAGCAAGGAGAGAATGGACACTGAGAAATCACCAGATGTCTCTACCACAGAGCTTTAGCTGAGAGATTGCTGGGAAGACTCCTTGAAAGAAGAGGCAAGATCTGGCAGGGTCCTGGAAGCCAGCCTAGGTGAGGGGCTGAGTCCTAGGAAGGAAGGCTTCTAGCTTCTGCCTGTGGGTCTCTGCCATCCCCTGGGGGCTTCACCTCGGGGACAGGATGACTGACAAACCCTTCCTCACCAAACGCCCTGGCCAGGGCAGAAGGCAAAGACTGGAAAAATTTTTCCTGGAAATCCCTGCCAATGAAGACATAGAGGAAGGGGTTGAGGCAGCTGTTGAAGCAGCCCAAGGAAAAGGTGGCCCAGAGGAGGAGCAGCATCTTGGAGTAGTGGGACTCATTTGGCTCCATCACTTGCGGCAGTTGGACCAAAAGCACCATGTTAAATGGGAACCAGAAGGTGAAGAAGGTGCTCACCAATAGCAGCAGCAACCTCTTCGGCCGGCGAGCATGGACCCAGCCCTCTCGCCGGAGCTTGGCCCGGATGAGGTGAGCACAGGCGCTGATGACTGCCAATGGCACCAGGAAGCCCAGCAGGGAGTAAGTGATGATCACCACCATTTGTCTCCCCAGAACCACTGGATTCAAACTGCGGGCAGTCTCATTCCTCAAGGTGAACTCGAAGTAGCAGTGGTTGCATCCATGCTGTTGGCCAGTGGTCCGGAATATCAGATGTGGTGAGCATATGGCGGCAGCCAGGAGCCACACCCCGATGGCCAGCGAGATGGCCCGCTGCACCGTCCGGTGGTTTCGGGCCCAGACAGGGTAGAGGACGGAGATGCAACGGTCCAAAGAAATGAGGACCAGGAGCCAGGTGCTGGTGAAGAAAGTGAGAACCAGAAAGGCCATGTAGAATTTGCAGGCCAGTCTATTAAAGAGCCACTGGCCAGAGGCCACATAACTTACGGCGACAGGCAGGGACAGTGACAGAGTGAAATCGGCCAGGGCCAGGTTGAAGAACCAGACGGTAGGGATGGTGCGGGGCATATGGAAGAGAGTCATCCAGAGCACCAGCCCATTGCCCAGTATGCCAACAATAAAGGACATGGACAGGGCAGCCACAGTCAGCTGGCGGAGGCACCCCATCTCCAAGGGCTTACATTCAGAGGTGTTCATCTCTCTAGAACAGAAGTGACCATAGGTAAGAGCCCCTGGCTGCCTTCACGAGAGCCCCTCCGAGACCCCACTCATGTATTTCTCCATTCAACAATTTTTTACCAAGTTCTTATTATGACATGATAACATCATTCTAGGCAATGGAAATAAGTCATGTCACAAAACAGGCCCTCATGGAACTCACATCCTGCTGATGGTGTCAGATATAACTCATCTAATAAATCCATGATATGCCGTGTCAGACGACAGGTGGTATGGAAATAAATAAAAAAGGAAGGGCATTGGACTTTTTGTAAAGACATAGTAGTTTTGTCAGACAAATAGTCTGACAGATGAAAAAATTACAAAATCTGGATAAGTATTAAAAATCAACCAACTATTAATTTTTTAAAATCATTAATTTAGGTTGTAGCCATAGCTCAGTGGGTAGGGCACCGGCCACATACACCCAGGCTGGCGGGTTCAAACCTGAGCCTGCTAAACAATAATGACAGCTGCAACAACAACAATAAAAAATAGCCAGGCATTGTGGCAGGTGCCTTTGGTCCCAGCTACTTGGGAGGCTGAGACAAGAGGATTGCAAGAGCCCAAGAGTTTGAGGTTGCTGTGAGCTGTGACGCCATTGCACTCTACGGAAGGTAACATAGTGAGACTCTGTCTCAAAAAAAGAAAATCATCAATTTAGAAAAAATGATCATTAAAAAAACTATCAATCCAGAGTTTTGTTTTCTTTTTTTGTAACACAGGGTCTCACCCTGTTGCCCAGGCTAGAGAGCTGTGTCATCATAGCTGACAGCAACCTCAACCTCCTAGGCTCAAGCCATCCTCCTGCCTTAACCTCCTGAGTAGCTGGGACTACAGGCACCTGCCACCATGCTCAGCTAATTTTTCTATTTGTAGTAAAGATGGGGTCTCATTCTTGCTCAGGCTGGTCTTGAACTCCTGAGCTCAAGAGATCCTCCTGCCTCAGACTCCTAGAGTGCTGGGTTTACAGGCAAAAGTGATTGCCCCTAGCCTCAATCCAGAATTTTTAAAACTGTTGAAAATATCCTTCACAAATGAATGTGAAGACATTGTCAGATAAAGCAGATCTGAGATAACTTATGGCCTGCAGGCCACGGAAATGCTAAAGAGAAGTTCTTCAGGTCTAAAGGAAATGGCACCAAATAACAACAGATATGTATGTATAGGAAGGAATTAAGAAATGATTCCTTGGCTCAGCACCTGTGGCTCAACCGGCTAAGGCGCCAGCCACATACACCTAAGGTGGCGGGTTCGAATCCAGCCCGGGCCCGCCAAACAACAATAATGGCTGCAACCAAAAAATAGCCGGGCATTGTGGCGGGCGCCTGTGGTCCCAGCTACTTGGGAGGCTGAGGCAGGAGACTCGCTTGAGCCCAGGAGTTGGAGGTTGCTGTGAGCAGTGAAGCCATGGCACTATACCCAGGGGGACAGCTTGAGGCTCTGTCTCAAAAAAGAAAAAAGAAAAGAAAAGAAATGTTTTCCTTAAAAAAATCAAAGTATAGGCTCGGCGCCTGTAGCTCAAGCGGCTAAGGTGCCAGCCACATACACCAGAGCTGGTGGGTTCGAATATAGCCCGGGCCTGCCAAAATAATGACGACTGCAACAAAAAAATTTGCCAGGCATTGTTGCGGGTGCCCGTAGTCCCAACTGCTTGGGAGGCTGAGGCAAGAGAATTGCTTAAGCCCAAGAGTTAGAGGTTGCTGTGAGCTATGACACCACAGCACTCTACTCAGGATTACAGAGTGAAACTGTCTCAAAAAAGGAAAAAAAAAATCAAAATACAAAGCCAGCATGGTGGCTCACGCACACCTATAAACCTAGCACTCTGGAAGGCCAACGCAGGCAGATTGCTTAAGCTCACGAGTTGGAGACCAGCCTGAATAAGAGGGAGACCTTGTCTCCACTAAAAATGAAAAACTGAAAAACTGAGGCAAGAAGATCACTTGAGCACAGGAGTTTGAGGTTGCTGTGAGCTATGACAGCACAGCACTCTACTCAGGGTTACAGAGTGAAACTGTCTCAAAAAAAGAAAAAAAATCAAAGTATAGAGAAATGGGAGTGTGAGAGTTGAGAGAGAAAGGGGCCACTTATGGCATTAGATGGGGATGGTCAGGGAAGACCTCATTAAAGATTTGACATTTGAGCAAAGATTTGAAAGAGGTAAGGAAGTGAGCTAGGTAGAGGCTAGGTATCTGGAGGAAGAGCATTGCAGGCAGAAGTAGCAGCTTGTGCAACAGTCCTGAGGTAGGACTATGCCTAGAATGTTCAAGGAACAGTGAGGAGGCTGATATGGCTGGAGAAGAGTGAGTGACGGGGAGGAGCAAGGGGTGAAGGTGGAGCAGGATGAGGGAAAAATTGTGCAGGCCATTATGGGTCAGCCTGAGGACTCTCCTAGCTTCTATTCTGAGTGAGATAAGAGCCACAGGAGAGCCTTGAGCAGAGGAGGGACAATATCTGACTTAGGTTTTAACAGTCACTGTGGCTTCAAGGTTAAGACTAGACTGAAGTGGGCAGGATGGAAGCAGAGACCAGGGAGGCGGCTGCTGCCATGATCCAGACTGGCATTGGTGGGGGGCTGGCACCCAGGTGATGTCAGAGGAGGGGGTGAGAAGCAGATTCCGGTTCGAGGTGGAACTGGCCAGATTTGCTGCTGGGCTGGATGTGAGAGGTAAAAGGGAGAGCAAAGTGGGGGTGGGAGGAACTGCAAGACTTAGGAGCAGCAGACAGTCAATGGCATTGCTGTCAACTGCGATGGCAGTTGGATATTGGCTGTGAGATTATAGGAGGGAGTTTCCAGCTGGACACGATGATGTGTGGGAGTCATCAGAATTTAGATGCTGTTTCCAGCCTTTGAGACTGGGAATGATCACCAAGGGTAAGCGTAGGCAGAGAGAGACGTCTGGGGTTGGAAAAAGAGCTTGAGCTTAGGCAGAAGGCCAGCACAGGCTGAAATTCGAGTTGAGATGCTGGATAACTGTATGGTCTTGGGCAAGGAACTTGTGCTGTCTAAGCCTCAGAACATTCACCTGAGACAAGGTATAGAACCCTGACCACCTCTCTTATCTCCTCTCCACCCCCCACATCTAATTCATCTCAAAGCCCAGTTGATTTTGCTTCTGAAAAGCCCCTTGCATCTGTCCTCTATCCACCTCATCCTATCCCCAAACCCACAGCCCTGTCATCCCAGCACTTAGCATCCCATACTTTCTTTTAAGAGACAAGGTCTCACTCAATTCCCCAGGCTGGAGTGTAGTGTGACATTGAGCTCCTGGGATCAAGTGACCCTCCTGCCTCAGCCTCCCCAGTAGCTGGGACTATAGGTGCCACCACACTGGCCTATCCCAGCCATATACTTGTCCCCTGCAAAACCTTCAGCGCCCTACAGCCTGAATGATTCCTCAGACATCCAAATTGGAAAACTGTTTTGTAGTTCACGAGGGATAAATCCATGTCTCCTTGGCACAGCCAGAGGGGGTGCTTACACGGGGCTGCTGCCAATCTCTCCAGACGCCTTTGTGCCCTGTCCCTCTTGCTCATCACAGCCCCACTTTACCTTTGTTCCTGCTGCCGAGATTCACCTTGTTTCCTCTCATCTCATGGGTTTTGAAGGTGCTGCTCCCTCTGCCTGTAACACCCTTTTTCCCTCTGCTTTTTTTCTTTTAAAATTCACCCTGGAGGGCTGAGTGCTGAGGCTCACACCTGTAATCCTAGCATTCTAGGAGGCTGAGGAGGGAGGATCACTTGAGCTCAGGAGTTAAAGAGCAGCCTGAGCAAGAGCAAGAACCCATCTCCACTAAAAAATAGGAAAAGAATAGCCAGATGTTGTTGCTGGGGCCCATAGCCCCAGCTACCCAAGAGGCTGAACACAGGAGATTCAGATTTGAGTTTGCTGTGAGCTAGGCTGAGGCCATGGCAATCTAGCCTGGGGCAACTGAGTGAGACTCTGTCTCAAACAAAATAAAACAAAACACGAAAATAAACTCATCCTTGAGATCTCAGGACAAATTTCACTTTCTCCCCAAAGTTTTCCTTGCAGACCCTCCCATAGAAGCATCTCTCCCACAAAGGATGGCTATGGGTAGCACTTCGGCAGGGTTTGTTGGACTATTTGATTCCCATCATCTGTCCCACTAATCTCTGAGTTCCATGGAGGTGATGCGGGTATGTGGCTTGTTCGGTAGCCTCTGGTACATAATAGGCACTCATTAAATCATTGATGAGTGATGGATTATGAAGGATAATCTCTCCTTTACCACTTGGGGGATGAATGCATTTATCTAGTCTGAAAATATGCATTGAGATTATTCTGTAAGGCAGTCACTATCCTAAGCACTGGGGATACTGCAGCGACGAGGACAGTGAAATACCTCCGCGCTGATGCTGCTGACTCAAATGGCATGAGAAAGTTCTTCACCCAAAGGAGGTGGCCCAGAATTTTTAGCCTCTTTTTTCACCTCCTTTGTCTACCTGGGCCACACCTCAACTCTCCTTGTTCCTAAGCCCACCCCTAGAGCTCCCTGAGGCCCCTCCCAGAAAATCCCAGTCCCCTGTCACCTTGCCCTGTGTCCAAGGTTCAGGCGAAGTGGCTCTGTCTCTGCTGTCTGTCCCCAGTAGCAACTAACCTCCAGCCCAGGTTGGGGGTCAAGGACGAACGGCAGGAAGTTACCCTGCGAGTTTAGGAGCAGATAAGGATCCGGAAAAGTCTTGAGCAAGAATTGTGGAGGCCTCTGGAGATCACTATCAGAGCCTGAGAAAAGTCACCAGATGTAGGTCTTGATAGGACATGGGGGCTGGGGGCTTGGGGACTAAAGAGAAGGGGGTTCCAGAAAGATCATTTTTTTCAAGGCCATTCCAATTGTCCTCCTCCATCCTTCCTTGTGTCAATGAAATTAGTTAAGATGAGCAAAGCACTTAAAACAGTGTCTGGCACATAGTAGGTGCTCAGACATAGTCAGCATTCATTATTAGTATTACTACAGTCATGTATTGCTTAATGATGGGGATACATCTGAGAAATCTGTCATTAGGTGATTTCATCACTGTGTGAAAGT